TCCTCCTCTGTATTGGCTCGACTTTAGTTTCCAACCAGCAACACCGGGTCTTGATCTGATAATTTTTAAAGGTTAGTAATATGCAGAGGAACCGAAATATTCTTTAACCATGTCACATGCCGACGGGGTCTCTAGTTGAGCGATGTGTGAGTTCAAAAGGGGCTAAAACTAAAACACAAGTAGTTCCGCTATATGTTATAAAATTTTGCCATTGGGATTCTCTATCCCGCTGTTCCATGAAAAATACTTGCTATTTAGGTCTCCACAAACAGTGACCGGGTTAGTATAGTAAAATAATTTATCTAATTTCTTTAATAATTATTTTCCTGCCGACTTACACCAAAAAATATTATTTGCTGAACCAAGTTTTTTTAAAGCGTTGCATAGACCGGCAGCCTATTGATTTTCATATTTTGGTAAATTTAATAAGGTGTGCTTTATATCTCTCTTATTAAGTATGCTAAGCCTTCACCTCCGAGGTTTTCCCGATCTTATCGATATATATTGTAATTTGATAAAAAATAGGCGGTTTTCGAATGGGGTCCTGAGGTTAAAAGTGAGGTTAATATTCTTTCTATTGATCCACTCCTGGAGCCCCCGTAGGTAATCCCGTATGCCATCGGCCTTTTAGGATAGTATTTTGTAATGATGCTTGTTCGGGGTTGCTTCATTACGATTATTTAGTTTTAAAAATGTATTACTAATCGATTTTTAAATTTGCGAGCTTATCGTTAAAGTTAAAGAGGTTGCACAATTTATAAGAATAATATCATCGAAATTAGTCGAAAGTTAAGTATGTTTACTACTTATTGCTTGAGCGTAGCTTTCCCACAAGGCACCTTCTTTTCCCGAGTTTATAATATAGAGTTATTAGTATAGTTGCTTCTTCTAAGCGGCGCATTTTTATAATACAAACAACGTCTAACTTGCAGTGTGCTCCCAAGACACTAAAACATTTGGGTGTGCCCTTTTGAGGTTTAGAGCAGGATTCTGCGCTTATGCGTACATACTATAAGGCGCAGAATTTTTATCGGTATGACTAATTAACTGAAAGCGAAAAAAGTCAGTTCTACCTTTTTTTTAGGTTTTACTGAAACGGAGATATATTCAATGTTTTCGGCTCTTAATAAAGTACTTTCGTTCTTAGGTATTTCCACTAATACGAACGGCTAGATTCTGTTTCATTCATATCTTCTCACTCTATAATTTCAGTGGGACGGAAGCTTTGATTTTACGGTTCTGTTGTAACCTCTATATTCAATTCAAGAATATAACGCGAAAAACAACTTTAAGGTTTTTTTTTTCGGAATGGAGGTGATAAGTGTAATACCCAGAGTTTTCTGAAGCTAATAAAGAAGTTAAACAACTGTAGTCTTGCTCACTCTGCTAATAAGGCCTAATTCTATGTCTCTAGTTCTTTGCTTTAAAGATTTTTATGTATTTATTTTTAATTTAATAGGATTATTTGCTCCAGTCTTTCCAGTTGCGCTTGGTACCAGGTGGAATTCTAAATTTAAACATATTATTATTTTCAAAGTTATTATTACTAATATCATTAATATAAGTTATAAAGTTATTATCACTATTGTTAAAATTATTGTTTTCGTTGAGAGTATACTATTATATGTTCCAATAAGTTCTTTATTATTGGTACTATTCTTGTTAATACACTTATTATTGCTTTTTTTAATAAGTACAGCTGCAATTAAATTTTAAGTTAGTTTCCTTACTAATAATTTAAGCTATATATGTGGATATTTACTTCATATGAAATAACATAGATATATTAATCTTTCCTACCACGACAACCAACAATACACTATGTGGTATAATTATTTGATACTTTTCCAATCTTTCCTAAGTGTGGAGAGCGGTATATGGATAGAAACGGTAGTAACTATGTTATTAAACTCCACAGATTCTTTCCATCCAAATATTTTTTTTTAATTTTTTTTTCTTTTTCAAACTGCCATACTTTTGTTTTTAAAAAGTTCTAGCTCTTTCTTAAGTTCTTTGCTTGCGGTCAACAAAGTGACAATCAGTTCTTGTCGATCGCTGCCAGTAAAAGTAAGATCCTTGGGAGAAAGAAAGTAAAAAAAAAATTAATAATATAAAGAAAAGTATTAAATTAAAATAAGTGCAATAATAATAAAGATAATTATACCAAAAATATCAAAAAATTGATTAATAGAAAAATAAAAAAATATATAACTGAAGAAAAAAACTTTGCTGAAAAAGTTGAGCTTATTGAGCATAAGTCAAAGATATAGTGACGCCGGCAACCTGAGCCCGCCACATTAAAAAAAAAGCGCTTCCACTCTCACCTGGTTTCCAGACCCTTTTATTTATTAATTTATTTATAAACGACAGTCCCTGGTGCTCGATGGAGTCAAATAACCTCGGATACTCGAGCTCTCAATCAGGAGTGATCGCAGACATGTTATACAATAGTTTTCAATCGTTAAAGGTGTCACTATTTTCTTGAAATTAACAAACAAAGCGCTAACCCAAGAATTTGTCACTTGACGCTCCGACACTATTGTATGGAGTCGTAGGCCAGGCAGCAGACCCGTATGCCAATATTGGCTGAATGTAAGACAAAAATGCCGTTAGTTTCACAAAGAAAACTTGCTCTTACCGCATAGTAAAGGGTAAAGCGGCCTTAGTTGCTGCCAGGAAAGTTTGTTGTCAATGTTGTCCCCAAAGTGTTTCGCTTGAGAAATCACGGAATCATCTCAAGCCATCAAAGGTTAAGAGCGCTAACAAGGGGACACATTTCCTAGTATTTAAAATCGCTTTGCTCTTCATTGATTATAGAAACTTTCCAATTACGGCACCAGATAGCATTGGCGTCAAGATAGCGCTGTAGATGCTTGCATAGCAAAGCGGGAGACTTCGACTATAAGTAAACGGCCGTATCATCAGCGTAGAGGGCGATACGGGCGTTTGGATTTAATGGCAAGGGCACGTCCCTCATATATTGCAAATAAAAGGGGCGAGAGAAGGGATCCCTGAGGGATCTCTGCTGTCAGAGACCGCAGCGACACAGCATCTCCCATGCGCACGCCGGACGCTGCCATTTAGATATGTTTTAGTACATTGTGAAGGCCATGAGAAACGGATAACGAGCGCAGTTTGTGCATCCAAACTTGATCAAAAGCTTTTTCAACGTCAAGGAAGATAGCGCCTGTTGCCTTCTTAAGTTCAAAGCACGAGTGGTTCACTCAGTTAAGAGGAGGAGCTGCTGGGCCTTTGAAAAAACGAAACTCCGAGCAAGGCGTCCTGAGCGTCAACGACTTCTTTTAGACCGCGCAATAAAACGGCCTCAGCCACACCAGACCCTTTTACTTTAGGTGGTAAGCCTTAAATGTCTGCTAAGTGCTGAAAATGCAAATATAATTGGACGATTTAGAAATGCACTACCGCAGCTTATTAATACTACCAAATAAAATAAACTGGGGCCGCACGCTAGATAAAAGCTTGTCAAGTTCGTGAACACGCTGTACATAAGTTCTCTCGGCCGAAATGAATTTTTCTAATCTTCATTATAAAGCGCTACCAACTTAATTGGGCTCTGTAGTTCTTAGTCTTCATGTGAATACATATCATTGCCTGCGATCCTAGCTGCAATACTTTTGAACGATTTTCTCCTTAATTCATTAAGTACGAGTAAATGATCCTTGTTTCAGATTGCTTCCTATCTGTGTTAAAGATTGTTCTGTTCCATTATAGTTAAAAAAAATATGTGTGTACATACCATTAAAATTTCTAGAAAACAGATACAAAAAAAAGAGAGAAAACAAGAGGGGAGATGCAAGTATGCCACGTGTTTAAAGCTTTTAACTTGAAATAATCCAGACTAACTAAATAACTTGATGTTTTATAAGGTGCAAACTAGCGATAATCAAACTGCTAATTTTCTTATTGTGCCGTAATTCTTACTGCACGTTCCAGTACATACTGCGCACTTGACGACTGAGTTTTTAAAATTGAGCTGTTAGTACCGCAACGCTTACTTCAAAATAGCCTTTACTTATTTCCTACCAAATTTTATAGACTAATTCGTTCAGTAGTTCGATAATAGTGTAGATGAAACTCGCAACCATTAAGTTATTAAAGAAAAGAAAATAACTTTAGAGAAATGGACTGGACAGCTGTTAAAAGAATGTAATTGCTACCTCCATTCTATCTCGGCCTCTCTTCTTTTGTTCACCACGCGGTGGAATAATCTGGAACTTCACTAACTTTTAATCACAGGAAGGCGTTGAGAAAAAGATCCCAGTTCATGTTTCTAACGCAAATTGCCATTTTAGGTAATTTTATGATTATTTAGATTATTTCATTGCTTAGTTGTGAATATATAATAAAGGTTCGCGAAAAATAAACGGCAGTCGTTTTAATTTTTTTTTAGTGCTTTTTTTGTTTTGGTCATGTCTGTACGTCTCCATATATGTATACATTTGCTTGTATTAATTTTAAAAGGCTTAAAGGTTTAAATACCCTAACAGATGGGTATAAAAGGTTAAGTAGGTTTCCTACACAGAGGTTCTTTAGCTCCGTTCTGAAGTTATTTATAAAATAATAAAGAAATCTCCCTTTCAAGCTCTTTTTGGGTAAATCATGAAATCGAAACTGACGTACTATAAGCAATATAGTAAAGTAATATAGTATATATATAGAATTTGTTAAAGCTTAAAAGCACTGTAATAATTTATTTGATGGCTTAGGCCGCACTACACCTGCCACCTAACAAACGACTGGAAAAAAAAACATGTCCTTTACACCGTAGTAGACCTCTACTACCAGCAAAAAATTTTTATTAATTCGCCTTAATAAATAAATCATATTTTTATTAAAACTAATTCTTCAAGGGACACAAAGATGATAAAACGCGCTTTAACAGTGAATGGAATTAGTGTATTAATAAGTACATTTCCACGCTATTTAAAACCTAAATTCATGCAAACTTGCAACAGGACGTGATACAAATTTGTGAATCACTCAGCCCACGAGTCTCTCACTATTTCTAAAATCTGTTAAATAAAACTTGTTTTAAGTGTCTCGAAAGCTGCATGTTTAAGAAGTTAATTATTTTTACCTGCTTTACCTTACTGAGTCCTATTTCCATTTTATTAATCATAAAGTTTTTCAAAGATTTAGTAAAAGCGAAAATGTAAAGGGGGCTACTTTATTGAAGAGCTCCGTTCAGCGAAGTATACGCTCCAAAGTTTTGGAATTATATCCTGTTATAGAACAGCATATTGATTGTATCTTTCCGAAAAAGTGTTCGTTGTCCCTGATAAAATGGTATAGCCACAGCTTAAGCAAAGTTATTACATGTTTACCTTTGTATCTTTCAGTGACGATAAGATAAGCATCGTTAGTGTTGATGAGAATCTCTTCTTCTTTTGCCAACATGATGGCGCTTTTATACCTACACTTCGACTTATTCACAAATATCCCAACTTACTCAAGAGACAACAGGTAGATCGAGGTTCATCTTTTTTAAAAAATATTCAAATATTGAAGAGTTCCTCCTTTTTTCAAAAGGTGCAATTCGTTTTATTTTGTCTGGCGCAAATATTATGTGTCCAGGACTGACGTCTTCTGGAGCTTGCTTAAGTGATGCTCAAGTGGGAGATATTGTGGTGAGAGTTATACTGTTTGCTTTGTATTTTAGGATGTTGTCATAAACTAGACATACTAATTATTTTTCCTTGAATTACCTAGTATTATTATTTATTTATAGCTAACTGGAAATTTTTATATTACGAAATTTTAATGTAACCATTTTTACAAAAGTTTATATAATTAATTCAATCGTCGTTAACATGTTTTAGTCAATTTATGCCGAAGGAAAGGAGCACGCTTTGGCCGTTGGCATAATGCTCATGCCCACCCTAGAAATGTACTTTATAAGCTTATATGAGGCCCCTCTTTTGTTTGACAAGCGATTTCTTTTTATATGCAGAAAGGCGAAAAACAAAGGAGTGGCAGTGGAAACACTACATTATTTAAATGATGGATTATGGAGATTTAACTTATAGCGTCAAGCAATCCTAACTCACGTGCTTTCAATATAGCCTACTCTCTTCAATGCAGCTGTGTGATCAATAAACTAGAGCTAAATTTTTTTTAGTGATAGTGGATAATATTAGTTGTTGCAGAACTTTTTGTTTGTGATGCATTACCACCTTATTCGAAGTTTACAGTGGAAAATTATTTAGGTATTATCATATACTATAGTAGAACTTAAAAAAACTTTTCAGAAAGTACAAAGCAAACTTAGTCTATAGTACTACTTAGATATTTTATTAAAATTATAGGTAAGCACTAAATTATTTATAATCCTTTGTTGGCTGGCAGTATTACGGCCTTTATTGATTACAAAGGAGACACTCCTCATAAGCGAAGAGAAACCATCAAAAGTTCTTTTTTTTTGGAATCTTCCTTTAAACTTAGTTATCGATTTAAATTTCAAAAATGTTTTCACTTACAATTGTAACAAAAATTACGGTTTTAAATTGCAGCTTAGTAATGGTAGAAAAGCTTTTTTTAAACTTTTTATGCGCAGAAATTTATTGTATCTCGATTCTGCCAACTACCTTGTTATTAGTTACTTCCTGGATAATAATTCATAGAGATTAGCCAAAAGTAGGAGTTATGCTTCAAAGTATTGACGAAAGCGAGTTATTAAATAAATTTTTTATACTGAATTATTGACAATTATGTGTATATGCGGTTATATATCAGTTAAGTAGTGCGGGCGAAATCTGAAGGTAGCACACCTTTTAAATTAAGTTTCCACGGCTCGCAGTTTTGTCGATTATGGTATTTACCTCGTGACTAAATTTGAATTCAATTTTCGTTTCATTAAAAAGTAGAAGGGACAGACTGTTTAAATCCGAATAGAGTTAGTTATTACTTTTCCGTCCTAGAGTAAGGCTAACTTTTAGATTTCTTTTTAATCTGCATCTCTAAAAGGCACAGCAATTAAAACAGAAATATAAACTTATTCGAGCTTATAACCAACTTACCAAAGAAAAGTAGTCTAAAAAAGAATGAGCTTATTCATAAACAAAGTACCTAAGTTACTTGTATCTTAACTTCAGTTCATCTTTTTAAACTTTAAAGTATTTACAAGTTTAAGGTATATAAAAACTTAAAGGAATGTCGCATTCCTACAAGGTTCTTGTCAAATAAAAATAAAGTCAAAAATCAATAAAATTTAGAACGAAGCAAGGATGGCGATATCTGCACGACTAAAGGTAAGATAGAACCCTACACAGGTTACGCTTTTTACAGACAGTTTTATCGTTACTGAAAGCATACTTTTCGATCAGAAATGTCGGTCTCACTCTACATCCGATTAAAAGTGTGGACAGTGATACCTCTAATGAACTCCGTAAAGAGCACCAAAATAAATTCATGATACAATGCTAATAAGTACTATGTTGTCTATCATAGAACAATAACAATAATTGCAACCAAATAAATTTCACAGTGATGATTAATCTGTCCTGTGTTAGGCGCAATGTTAGTATATATTTTCTCGTGATCAATAAATTTAATCTCTCGTTTTGCTTGTTCCTATTGCTCACGTGTTTTTTCTTTATTTTCATTTTAAGACCGTTTAGTTAATGTATTTATTATTTATTAAAAAACATATTTCACTGTAGTCTAACAGGTCAAATACGTAAAGCCATTATACATGGCTACAGGCTAGTCGTAGCTCAGCGGTAAAGAGTAATTGACATTGCATACTTAAGGTTTCGTGGGTTTGATCTCCACCCACGAGACTCTGGTTGTGTATTTAACCTTGCTCTCATTCCTGCCAACGGTTTGAGCCAGATATGTCACCGCTATTTCTCAGCATTCCGGGTAGTCATTAAAACTTTCTTTTAAGAACCCAGCTTTCATTTCGTAAATTGCCTATTAACAAAGAAGGCATATACAAAAGAAGTTATTAATCGGGGAATGAAAAAAAATTATATTTATAGCAAATCCGTAGTAAAAAATACAGGTGCCCAGGTTACATCCAAAAAGATAAGAAGATGCTCAAAAAAACTACGTACGTATATTTAAGTTTAGACAGATTTTTTCAAAAATTTAGAGTATGATAGATATTAAAACAAGGGTGTACATTCGGAGACACAGTTGCTGCACATAAATTGGGTAAATTCATACCCGTTTTAGCCCACAGCAGCCTAGAAAACATATATATTCGTTCTATTAGAGTTATAAAGGTGAACTATTCACTTTATAAAACCAAAATCTTGTTTGTAAATAGTCGCCAAATTGTGATCACTCTCATTGTGTTTTGTCACTAAAAGCTACCTTAAAAGCAAAATCATTTGCTTCGTATGTCTACAAACTCCCCATGCATAAAAACAGATGTCTAGCTATATCCTGATCTGAAGCTTCCTACGATAATTTGTTCGCTGAAAAACTTGCACGCCAAGTTCCGACACCTTGACAGGTACAGGAGCTACCTACATCCCCAATAGATATTATTTTAAGTTGAGCATTAACGAGGTCAATCTTAAGGGATATATAACTACCGAACGAATACATTAAAATAACTTAGATTGTCTGCATATTATGGTTGCGATAATATATAATAATAGACCTGTCTTTTTTATTTTTTTTTTCTTTTTATTACAACGTTTACTTATTTTATTTGATTTATCATTCTATTATTGCCCTTAACCCTTAACCACCAGGAGAGTTATAATATGGGACCAAACCCCCCAAAAAACCGACTTCATAATAAATGCTATTAATGACAACAATAAGTAACTTGACATTTTAGGCGGCCCTTCTCTTCAGAGCTTCTACAAAATCTATTATACTAAACTGACGAGTTGTCGTCTTAGCTCAGCACTTATGGATACCAACATTGTGTTACATTAGATGTGGTGCTCTGCCGATAATTTTAAATTACGAATATATTAGCATTACTTGTAATTTCCTTTTTTGGGCTTTTCAACTACGGGCCCCCATCAGAAATAGAGGTTCTTTTAAGCAATTTATGAGAACTGTTAGGAAAAGACACCAGAGTTAACATGTTCCCGTATTTCAGCGATAAAAGTATTGACATTCGAGGTTGTGGAACTCATTCCAACCGAAGCGACGCTTTTCTTCCGTCTTAACTTGGTTGCGTGTGTAACCTTGCCAGAGAATATCTGATAAGCTTACATAATTGTTTTAGTTAATAAACCCGAGGAAGCACTGAGTCATAGAGGGCTGCTAGTTAAGACATATATTATGTTGGCCGTTAAGTTTTATTAGTAATCCCTTTTGGAGTAGATATTCAACGTGACGGAGCAATGCCAAAGTTAGATTAAACTTTACAAGAGATCCCAATTATAGACACTAACTGGCAGTTCATTAAGGAATATTACTTGTAGAACTGGTGAATTTTACTATTTACTTTATCTTCGTCAATTTAATATATGTTGAGGCTTAACTTACTCACAAGAGGACCGAAATTTATTAAGTGCCGTAAAGGAAAGGTTAAAAGAGATCCTTTAGAGAGCAAAGTAATAACATCTAATGCTAAGGATTACCTGTTGGTAGTATCCTTGGAATTAATAGTCGTCCTATTATTGAATATTGTTTAAATTGATTCATTCGACTGAAAACTACCTTATTTTTTCCGTCCTGTAATCAAATACCGAGCTTAAAAAGTTCAGTATGTGTCCTTCAATTATTTAATAATTTTCAGAGCACCATAGAGCTCTATTTAGTGATTCGAAAGTTCACTAAAATAGCTTATCATATAACTTTCCTGGAGTACGACTATATTAATATGCTGGCATAAAGCTACTTGAAAGGAAATTAGTAAAAAAAAACCGTTCTTTGAAAATCTTATAAACCTTGTAGCTGGCTGCTTACTTAAAAGTCTACACAACTGCAATGTTAGATAGCGAACATACATGAACACACAACCTATACTTAGTATGCTCTTGGAAGACTTTAGGACACGCAGGTACCTCTCTAAAAGCTTGGAAACAAGAATAGTACTGAGATACGATCTCCTAGTTTCTAAACCCTCCAAAATACTACTAGAATTGGCCTTTAGACCTTGTCGAATAACCACTCATCTGTTTGAGCCGACTTTCATTAAACCTAGAGGAGCTGAGGGAGGGTAAAAAAGTAACTATATTTTTCAATAATTTATTATTATTACCTAAAACTTACTAAGAATACTTATGAGATAGCAAATTACTATAAATTGTAGTAGGTGGCCTCTATATCGAGAATAATAACTCATAAAGTTGCTTGGGAAATATTTAGGAGTATATTAGCAGTATAACAAAATCCTTCAATTTAAAATTAAAATTTATAAATTGAACAGATTGATGAAAAGGTAGTTATAAATATTTTATACTTTTATGGTTAGGATAGCGATCTAGTAGATTAATAGTGAGGTGTACGTGAGTATTATATCAAATTGTCTGTGTTGGAACCAAGTTGCCTAAATACTAGTTAAATATGCTCTAATATTATGAACTTTTTTATCGGGAGATTGTATACTAGGTTTGAAACGTGTGGGAGAGAACAGATTTTTTATAGAATATATTTTGTTTCTACACAGTGTTAGATTTAACTATAATATTAATTGGGTAAGGTTGGGGAAATGACCATTGATATTAGCTTCTCTTGACTGAATCAGGTCGGTAGCTAGAGAAGTCTTATTAATGAGTAAATAGGATGAAATTAAGAATTTAATACTTCTAACTAACATCTTAATCTTCATTTGGCAATTTACTCTACTAGAGAATAGCGCTATAGAATAATGAATAACAATTTGTTAAGAATCTGTTAACTATACACTGAAAACCCCTAAAATAATTGATTTTGAAGTTTATAACTTTAGTATATAGAGAAGAAATAAAAAATAAACGCTAAGCTTGCACGCGTCCGCCATCATTCATCGGATCACACGAGCAACATTGTAGCCTTCCTGCTTTTATGCGTTTATAATTCAGCAAAATAAGCTCTGGCTACTTTGAAAATCCTTTGTTGACCACTGTGTTAAGTGTGTGGTTTTGCTGTATT